TGTAAAACAAATATGTATATTTATATGCATTAATTCTTTATAAACATTAAAATAAATCAAGAAATGTTTATGAAGTAAAATTATATAAATTCTAAATGATAAAAATATATGTAATCAATAGAGTAAATAAGAATCTTTAATGTTAAGTTCAATTGATAGTATGAATAATATTTAACATAAGTATTTAAAATGTTTATAATATCGATAAAAAAATTTTAACCGTATCATAAAGACCAATTGGATATACTAAAGTAAATTAGACAAGTTTTTGCTTATTTTATAATAAACACTGATTGCAAGTCATAACATGTGTTGAAAGGAAATTAAATATTGTTCAGTCACCTATCATATGTATAATCGATAATTATTATCAAAGATAACAATAATTGGCGTCCTTATGAAAATACATTTTTTTTTCATATCATCTAGGAAATTTCTCTTCTATAATTACTGAAAATATTCAAATCGTACAATGCTTGAATAAATTTTCTTTATTGTAAACAGTAACTTTATCTTGTTATTTATTAACTTACACAAATATTTTCTTACATAATAAATACGGTATATTTGGACAGTAACTTTCTCTAATTTAACTACTATTTAATTTGAATAAATAACATTGAAGATAGAAACAAACATATTTTAATATTAACTATGTTTATTAATGTAGAAAAAATATAAATAAATAAATAACGAATATAGAAGAAAATCATAAGTAAGATAAATACAAGATATAATATTTTTCTACAAAATTATGGGTTTTTAATTCTTATATCAATATTATATAAATATAAATCATAATATATGAATATAAAGAATTTACAAATTTTTCATGAAAATAATTAATAATATAGAATTTGATTATAATTCAAAATACTTAATAACATATACTATTTTTTAATTAATTTGGATAAAATTTTTTTTAAATATGCTTGTAGTATTTAGTTTATAAATATATTTTAATTGACATATTTTTCAATTATATTCATGTAGAATATATTCCATTAATAATTAAAATACAATAAAATTGTATGTAGATGAAAAGTTTAGAATGTACGGCAGAATTTTTTATTAATTTTAATATTTTTACATCAATTGTTTTATAAATATTATTTATTAAAATGAATCAAAAAATATATTTTATTTTTTCAAATTATATCTACTGAAATTGATTTTTATAGAACATTACTTTATAATCATATAACATTATAATCAACTCACTTAGACGCCTATGTATATAATTTTGTAAGTTTTTTTTTAATATTCATATGTTGACTTTGTTTCAAAAACATTGAGTTACAAGAAAACAGTTATAATTTCTACAAATAAAAGATATAATATAACGGACTTTTGTAAAAAGTTTGAAGTGACATTTGGAAGAAACATTTGCAGGTATAAGATTTAATTAGAATTATATATGAAAATTTGTAATGCAAATTTGTACTTTCAAAGACTTTTCTTGAATATTAATTATATATTAACATTAATTTACTTCATATTAATTTCTTTAATAAGCATATTATTATGTTCGTTTTCTATTCTCCATTCTAAGCTTTTTTTTTCTTTTATTAATTTTATTCTCTATGAATATATTTAGCTTTTCATTGGAACAACGAAAGTTCAACTAATTTACAAATTTTATATTAAAATTTAGTCGGTACTAAATTGATAATTTCTAATAAATTTTTATTTTACTCCCCTTCATTTATTTATAACTACATAAAAATACATTTATCAAATTTATCAGATTCAATATATTAAAAAAACTTACTCTAAAATTACGAGGATCTATTACAAAATTTCCGATAGACTTGTAAATAAATAGATTTTAATTTAATTATATTTATTGCATATTAAATATATAATATATTGTAATAACGAAATATTATTGTAAATAATTAATTCACTATTTATAATGTCTTAAGTTTTTAATAGATGTTATACTTAGATTGGTACTAATAATAGAAAATAATTGAGTAATTATTAAGCAATGCATTATTAATTTATTTATAATTGCGATCATAAGCATATATTATTATACACAAATTAAATGATTTGCTTTCGTGAAATATTAAACATCTTAAATGACTAGTAATCGCTATTTTTAAATCTATAAAAATAAACAGTATTTTTTAATAAATTTTAAGTACGTTTTGTGTTAATTAATTAAATTTAAGTAAATTTTAAATTAAAAATATGATAAAATGGGTGATAACTTAGAATAATAGTAGAAATTGCAGTAATTTAACAAAATATAATATGTAATTATTAGTTAGTTAAACTAAAGTAAAGCACTGAATTAAATCGTTACTTCAATATTAATTATAATACCTCCCAATATATTGCAATTATTGTAAGAAAATTATCTTTAAATGGTTTGTATATGTTAATTTTCAATATACATATAATTATACTACGAAATATACGGAATATTATATACGGAAATGGAGGTAACACTCGTTCTTTAAAAAAAAAAAAAAAAAAAGTAGGTAATCCGAAAAAACAAATAAATAAATAATGTCAGTATGTACAAGTAGCTTAATTTTATGATATCGATCTCTAGACATATACGTACTATTCTCTTAAGCAGATTGTGTACATACAAACACGAGCATTTGTTTAATTCACAACTCCTTTATGCTAGCGTAAACTTAAAAAATTATAAGTTCTCGCGTATGTGTGCTTTTATCAAAGGTAATAACTATATCAAAAAGTCCATTTAGCCACATCTGTTATACAGCGTAGTGAATTTTATCCAAAAATAAACCATAAAGGAGTAAAGAAAATATATGTATTGGATGAAGAGAGAAGTGAAAAGGGAAGAACGTTCGTCGGAAGCTTTTCCCAAGAAAATATATGAAGCGAAAGCATACGGCTGGAAGTAAAACTGAATTTCAGCTCACCAATAATCGTGTACATTGTCACTGAACAAACGATACTCCCACTCTTTTCTTTCTCTCTCTCTCTCTCTCTCTCTCTCTCTCTCTCTCTCTCTCTGTACCCTTTTACTATATTTCCAACCATCCAACTATTTCATCTTTCTTATATTTTTATAATTACGCAAACCTCTTCCACTTTCATTCATAAAGTTAATAACTAATTATATTTTTTTACTAATATTTAATTATCCACGGATTATTAATAAATTATTCTATAGAAGTAGCTGCTTACTGTCTCATAAAGAAAAATATTTTTCATATTAAAATTGAAGAAATATTATTTTAATTTATAGATATTAATAATTTGCTAAAAGATTTTAATATTATATGAATTAATAAATTTATCTTTTAAAAGCTTTTTTTTATATATCTAAAAGGTAATTAAATCCGTTACATTATATGCTAAATGATTAAAAAGTTTTCATTGTATTATTTCTTCATGAACATATATAACATTTTATTTACATTAGATGAAAAAAGTCAAAGGCCCACAATTAAATTATTATATTTGTAAGATCAAAATGAAATATTTATTATTTAAATGTAGATATATTTCTTCATATTAATTAAAAATATATAATTAAAATTATTTTTCTTTAATTTCATGTAAACATAAAAATATAAAGTTACATATTATTAAATTTTTAATTTTTATTTGAAAAATTCGTAGTGCAAAATGATAGTGCAAACACAGACGATTATTATACTGAAACAAAGTAAGTAGTAAAGTCGTAGATTATGGCAGGTACAGGATATGTATAAATATAAATAAAATATATAAATAAATAAATATATAAATAAATATATATATAAATAAAAAAAAAAAAACTTGTAAATATAAATAAATATGTTTTTGCAATTTTATGCTCAATGTCTTTGTCTGCTTAAATTTATTAAATCGAGTAGTAATATATTGTTAATAAATCTACTTCGTATGAGCTTATAAAGAATGTATGAATTATGATTATATTCTAAAATATTTGCTTAAATTCATTATTTCAAATTTATTGTCAAGAGGTACAGCATTATAAGAACATATTATTGATAAGTTGCAGGTCGAAATTAATTGGAATATTTAAAAAATTCTGCTTCATAAGTTGGATTTATCGCACGAAAGAGCAAAGTATAATTTGTGTATGACATTTTATAATCAGTGCATGAATTTCAAAGACAATTGTATTATTTTTTATTTTTAATTATACCATTTTCATTCTTTATTACTATACATATTATTCATATTATTATAGATATAATTTCATGAATTTATTTGTTCTTATCGTGGATTAATTCTTAAAAGTAAAAATATAGCGTATTAACAATATTTTCCAAGAATGGTATTTAATAATGATATATGCTTCATTTTTCAACATTAGCTCTTATTTTTGTAGTTCCTCTTTACTTTCATTAAAAGTTAATTTCTATTTTCTACCTAATAACGATTTGAAATAAATCCTTTTTTTTTTGTATCATTATTTTTATTGAACGGATAATTTCGCACTAATTCTAATAACTTGAAGTGGCTGTTAAAATATGAGCAGTACTTTTATTAAGCAATCTACGCTCGTGGCGAATAATTTTGCAATTTTTCGTTCTCAACTTTCCAACACCCCGTCCCTTCTTTCCCTCCTGCAGAACTCGTTTATGCTTACAAATACATATACAAAATTTCGCCGTACACGTAAATGCGTGAGTCTGCATGGCGAAAGTTCAAGCTTATCTCTCTCCCCGCGTCTCAGCTCAACGCGTCAGAGACGCGCCTGCCGGCGAGCAAAAATGGGGTGATATCAGAGAACTTTGTATCGGGGCAGCGCTTACCCTCCCTTCTCCTTCTCCTTCTCCTTCTCCTTCTCCACGACCCCTTTGCCATCATTCTCCTCCTCCTCCACCACCCCATAACAGTTTTGCGTAGGAGGAATAATCTAGTGGAAGGGAGAATGGCGTGGTGGTTCGCAATCCCTTGCACCCCACAGCCATTGTGAGCTGGAACGTCAGTGTAGGAGGAAGGCACTTGCAAAGATACCAACGAGGAGCGACAATCGTTCATAACATCATAACAACAATAACATCGACTGTATCGAAATTAACTACTGTCTAATCAAGGACTTTTACGGAAATTGTCAAGTGGATAAGAGTCTCTCAAGGTCGGTTCCACTTATCAAGATTTACTTTCTTCCTTCACTTATTATTTGATTTTATAATGCTCTATGCATTCTCATATTGAATTCATTTCTATGTTATGAAATGACCTCGAACGCTAAAAGACATTATATAGAATATAGATTTATAGTTAGAATATTTTTCCGGACATATATAGGACAATCGGTATTAATTAAAAGGTAACTTTTGTTTACCACTAGTCATTTTCTATATAGTACAACGTAAAGCATATAATATGTTAATAATTTCAATAATGTTCTAAATAATATATCTAATCAATAAGTCCATCATTAAGTCTAAAAAATAAGTCTAAATCAAATTTGGTTGAATGACAGTTAATAAATGCCAATTTTTCAATTAATGCCACAATTAAATGCAATAATTATTTAAGTGGCAGTATTATTTTGCAAATAAACTGAAGGAGATAATATTAAATATTTGTATTCATCTAAGGTAGATCTAAGGTAGAGGAAATATTTCATAATATACAATTTCATTTATTAAAAATAATATTAGCTATTTTCGTAGAAATATTCTCAATAGTCTCACATATTTGTAATTAACAGTAAAAAAAGAAGAAGAAAAAATAAGGTAATAATGATTAAAATCTCTTTGAATTATCAGTTTCTCAATTGCCTCCCCATATACGAAGATAAAAAAACGTTTACGTTAATCGATCAACAGTTAAATTACTTTTACCTACCCAATTGCATATTGCACTCGGAATGCGATGCAACAAGTTGTTGCATTTTGTCCAGACTCTTGCGAGGATGAAAAGGAGTTGATTTTTACTTTTGGCGCGCGTCATTCCTCGGCGCTCACTCGTCACTATTGATGCTCCGTTTGCCATTGACGTCACCGTATGATTTTGTAAAGGATGGACGAGTGCTTGGCTTTCCACGCGCAAACCGTACGTGTAATTTTCAGCTTTGCCGGAACTATTTTTAGACAAATCGATTACGAAATTAGTTTGAAGATAATTTGTTTTCAACGTGGTATCGATTAGCGTATTTACTTTAAGATAAAATTGATCGAACAGGAAACGGAGTACAAGGATTATAGATACGCACCATAATCTTATATTCGCTAAAGCAACATAAAACTGATTTAATTATGTTGATTATTTATGGATTAAAGAATGATGATTTTTAATGGATTTTTTTTTTTTAATCAAATAATAATGCTATCAAATAATGAAATTAAAAATAAGTTTGTATTAATCCGCTTGATAATTAATTTTATTTGGAATAACGAACGATGGAAGAAGATCAGATTGTAACATAGAAATGTGCAATCATTAATATTAAGTAATTTGCTTTTCAAAGAATAAAACTAACCAAAGCTTAACTAAACAAACTATTTTTGATGGTATCTAAAGTTTTAAAGTACTCTTAAAGTACTACATACGTACTTTTTTTTTTATAGTCGGTTCTATACATACCGAGGTTAATTATTCAAGACGTTCATTTATTCCATAAGCGCTACAAGTTTTTTCTTGTTGCTACTTCTCGACATTTTTTAGTTCAATGTAGCATATTTTTCTCATTTAATTTTCTATAGGCTATGAAACATCTTCAGTATAAGTGAATTATAATTTAATATTAAATTATTATAAAATTCATCGATAACATTAAGTACTAATTTCTTAAGCTATTTTTCTATGCTTAAAGAATTCAAATTTTTTCGAGCCATTCGTGTCATTTCCATAACTTATGCGAAGACTTAACAATTTAAAAAATATATAAAAGTAAGTTCTATAAAATTTATTTACCTTATAAATATATTTATGCATTCTCTGCATGTATGAATTTTTGTATTATCTGAACTAAAATAATTTGAAGATTAATTGTTAGAAAAATGGTCTAAGTTGAAAGGATTTTGTCTTTATTGACCAAATTTATCTTTCTTTAGTTTACTATCTTTTTCATTTTTAAGTGTCGTTCTTATTTTTCTTTATCTTTTCAACGTTTGTTTTATTTTTACTTTTGCTGATTTATGCCAAAGCGTAGTTATATAATAATTCTCTCAATTTTTAATTAAAATTATTACATGAGATTTCTATAATTTTTAAATTAAAACACCTCATTCTTTATCTACTAATTGTAAATAATTAGCAAATCATTTTTTCATACTTTTACTAACGATATTTATAATCATATAAACTACAAACATAGATATTTAATATGATGTCAATCAAATATATAAAAAAATAAAATATTCAATAATAATCTAAATATAAATTGCACTTTCTTCATAAAAAAAAATAATAATATGTTATATATATTTTATACGCGTAATTTAAAAGTTGAAATTTATAATGTTAATTTAATCCTAAAATATATATATATATATATATATATTTTAACTTTTAACATAATTCCCAAACGTAATTGAAGTGTAACTATAAATTTAAAATAGAAGTTCAAGAATCATTACTATATAAAATGGTTATTCAATTTGGAAAAATCATAACCAATTTGGGTATCAGTGTATAAAAAGTGGGAGATCAAGTTAATCTACATTTGTAAATATTAGCTTATATACGAAATGATATTTTACGGAGATAGTAATTCATATTCATTTTGTCTCAATATTCATATTTTAAGACAATTATAACAATTGTAACAATTATAAACAAATTATAACAACAAGTCAACTTAATATTTTATTTTATTACAAGGAATAAAATAATAAATATTTTTGTATGTTTCAAAAAATTATTGTAATAAAAAAAAAATGTATTATACTATTTTTTATATATAGAATAATTAAAATAATTAAAACCAAATTCCATAAAATTAAATGGAATATAAGCAACCGAATGCTATTTTTTCTAAAATATTTTTTATCTGCCTAAATAATTCTTTATTTTTTAAATGAAATGCATAAGTGCAACTTATCTTAATACAATTAATTAAATGTTTAAGAATAATCTGATTTCAGCTTTGTTCTTAATCAATCGATATTTTCAAAATATATGAAACTTTGATAATGACTCGTAATATTTAAATGAAAAAAAAAAATATTTCAGTGGGACCGGAAACCTTCTTATAATAGATTTTAATTAATCTTTAAAATTACCGTCATATAATAAGGACGGGTCTCAATTACCTATGACACTATTGAAATCACAATTACTGATGAAATTATCGTAAATTTCTTATATAATGAGAAGCACTTGTGCCAATATAATGATTAATTTATAGTTAAGCCATGAAACTTCGAAATAATTATAATGGATGCACTTGGGACACAATCAGAAAAGAAATTCTTCAGAGTTATGCTAATTAAAATTCACCTCTTTATATTATTAAGAATCGTATTTATAAACAAAATTTAAGTTACATTTAATGAATTTTATACAGAATTTTTTTTTAATTCGTAAGAAAATATAAAATATTGCTTTAAAATCTGTCGATTTGTAAAAAAAAAAAAAATACATTATACACACATATTTATTTGCAGTATATTGTTAAGATAAGTATTTTTGTGACAAAAATCCTTTTTTTTTTTAAAGGAAAATTGAAATTATTATAAAAAAAAACATAATCAAATGATTATAATTATATGAGCTAACATATAATCAGTTATAACACATAATAAATTTAATGCAATGCAATTACAGTTTTTTATTCACATCTATTACATTATACATATGAAAATGTAACCATATATTGCAGATGTTATCCGACTGTTTCTGGTTTTTATTATTGGGCATAATATTTGTTACCGTACAGTCTCTTCCAACTGGAATAGGAGAAGATGCAAAAAAAAAAGATCCAATATTAAGGCCAAAAGGTGAATATAATATTTGTTGTAATATCACACAGTCTTTTATACGATTTAAATAAAAAAAAAATATATATATATATATATATATATATATATATATATTTAACATAGATCTTCATTTACAATAATCAAATGTTTTTATGTGTACTGTTGTATTTAAATGCATATAGATTAATCTACGAAATCATTTATAAATTTAAAAAAATTTTATGATTGTCACGCGTTCCCCGAGTTCATAATTAAAAAAATATAAATACTTGTATTATTACATAATTTTATGATATTATTAAACGACTGATAATTTCACCTCTAAATTAAGTGCTCTTCTTTTACTTTTGTTAAACATGATATTGTATTAATATGATTTTCCATATTGCTTTGTGTTATAGTCAAACGAACACAAGAACTTCTCATGTTTGGCAATCAACAACGCCAAGCGACGGAAAATAACGATGCAAATAATTTTTCGCCATCAGCGGAAAAAAGTAAGAGTTCTTTTGTTTAAAAAATTTAATTATTATTATGTAACGGAAATTAAAAATAATCCAATAGTATTGTAGAAAGGATGAAATAGATATTGATTTACAGTTACTTTAACAATTTTGTTTAAATTACATTAGAAGAATATTTTTTGCATAGTAAACCAATACACTTTATATTGCATTTAACAACCGATTAATAAAAGTGAAGATAATATTTAGCGTTGACTATATAATTATTTATGATGTATATGATGATATATATGATGATATTAGTTATATATGAATTGACTATTTAACGTTATCCGTTCTAAAGTTAAACAATACATATATTATACTATTAATCGAAGCATTTAATAAGAATTAAAATAATTTCTTTGTAAATTTTAGTTGTGATATTTTGTAAATAATATTTAACAACTTCCACAATATCCAATAATTTAATCTGAATTTGAAATAAAGTAAATATCATGCCAATAATCATGTTTTTCAGTTAAATTTGTTTGCACGTTTAACATTTGATGCAATGCTTTCAAAATCAAATTAAATCTTTTTTTTTCTTCTTTTCTTTACTTTTTTTTTCTTTAGGAACGCTGAGTAATTCCGGTTTGGATGATGAAAGCTCTTCACTTACCGAGTCTGAACAGCAGTCGCCCAGTCACTTGAAAGCCCTACCCAACAGTTATGTAATGGATCAATCCACTATTCCGCTGCATGATAAGAGCTATGAGTAAGTAAAATCTGTTCTTACTGTTTCTTTATTATTATTATTTTTTATTAAAAAGGGATTCAATGCCAAAATTTATTATTAAATATCAGTTTTATCGAAAATTTATCAAGAGTAGACACGAAGAATAATATTCACAGTGCAATATTAAAAAAAAAAAAAAAATACAGTAACAGTTATGCAATAGCTTATAAAATATAAATATTATTTATAATTTACATAACTGTAAAACATTTTTAAGGTAAATATTACGAAATTTTTATATAGAATACGAGCACGATAATTTAATTTATTTTCCATAATGTCAATTTTCAAGATTTTTATACAAAATAAAAGAATTTTCGTTGAAAAAATTAAACAATACATACCTATAGTATGTATACTTATATAACATATTTATTATTTATCTTGTATTTTATAATTTATTATTATTTTATTATTTTATTATTATAATATTTCATAAATTTTGTAAAATAAAGTTCGAGTGCATTTTCAAAAACACTTAAATATATTTATGTTCATTAGTAAGAATTTATTAATATTATTTTCAATGTATATAAATAATTAATCAATCAAATAATGTATGAATGTAATATAATCTAGTGATACTAGAAATTACAAATGATTATTATGTATTTTAATTATTAAATTAAACCAAATTTAATCGTTTCATTCCAAAAAGATTAAATAAAAACAATCGGTTTAATTAACAAATGATTTAATTGCTTTAGAAACATTAATATAAAGCAAATCTAATTAAATTAGAATTTTCTATACATTCAATAATATTTGCATAATATAAATAATTATTATAATAATAATTAATAAAATACAATTATTTAATAATAAAATAATGGATTAATAATAAAATAAAAAAAATAAGTTTTTATTTACTATTTTTATTTTGTTACATTTACATGAATTAAATTAAAATATTTCTATTAGATACTTTATAAAATCTTTAATAACATTAAAGAACAAATTTCATGCTGTGTGGGTTACATTACTTATGCGCAACTACATACTGTTACATGCACACAAATATTTATTAAATTTAATGAATATATCAACGTAATAATATGTAAATGAATAATTATCATAAATTAATGAAAATATTGTCATGTGATCATACCCGTAATCAATTATTATCCTTAGGAAAAAATATATTAGTATTTCAATTACATTCTCGCTTGATTGTAATTTATGCAGAAATTCTTTAATATAAATTTTATTAGAAAATATACTAAATAAAAGAAACGAATAATAACGTAATTTATTACGATAAAAATTTGATAAAAAATTCTACAAGTAAAGCATTCATGTGCAATAAACTGAATAGAAAAAAATTGTATTACTTTATATTATTGCATATTTCGTATTAAAAAAAAAAAACTGTCTTTATTTATTTTATACAATATTTGAAAAAGAATATAATATTACAAAATTTGTCTTTTAAAACTATAAAAACATTCACATATTAAATTATAAGGCACTTTCTTAAAATCATTTGCGTTCCTAACGGGAAATTCTTCAAATAAACGAATATAAATTATATAAGAAAAATCCACTTTTTAATAATATTAAATTATCATGATACGAAGAAGTAAATCTAAGTAAAAACATTAATTATATTGTACATTTTCTTGGCACTATTATATGTTCATTAAATAGTGATTGAAGCAGATATTTAAATAATTGGAAAACGGAATAGAAAATTTAATTGAGAGACAAATTGAAACATAGCGTTTCTACAATAATAAAAATATTCTAAGTACCTCTAACTTGGTAACTCTAGAGCGCAATATATTATAATTATTTTACTTGCTATATATATATATATATATATATATATATGCAGATGAATAAAAGCTAAATTAAAATAGTGAGCGAGTGCAAGCTCATGTGCATATAAGTTCTATCGTTCTTGCACGCATGTTGGTGCGTGCGTGTGTGCGTGCGTGCGTGTGTGCAAACATTTTAATGCAAAACTTCATCCTTGGCCGTCGCTCGCTTAGATATGGCAAGGTCTTCGTTAATGAAGTTGGCGATGTCCTTCCGCGAGGCACGTGGGAAGTTTTGCCTCCTTACGGGCGATATTACGGCGTCGGCAATGATGACCGTCGTAAGCGTTCCGAAGACTCGAATTCGCATTCGCCGTCTACGAGTTCGTCCACGTCCTCGTCCTCGACAATCACGGGTAGCAGCACTGCGTCACCGGCTACTTTACCCGCTGCTTCGGCACCAGTCTCAAAACCCGCAATCCGACAACTCCAGAGAAGGTAATTCTCATGTGGTTCTCGAATGCACTTTTTCAACTCAACCATCTTGTTAATTAATTAATGGAATTTTCTTTATTGGTTGCTATTTACATTTTTATTAACTATCCGAAGAGTATATTTCGAGCTTTTTTGATATTTCTCGACATCGGGAAAACTAAATTTATTGAAAACTTGGCGATATTAAAATTCATAGCACTTGTTAACATTACATTCGTATTCATATATTTTGATAAATTTTATTTTCAACTTTTAAGTATAATCCCAATTAGATCTAATTGTAGTATATTAAAGTTTTGTACTTCTCATAATTTACATGGTCATATATTTACATTTATATATTTTTCTTATCACATTATCATATTATTCAAATTGGATATGTATAGAATAAAATATTTATATAACATTACGGTTATTATTATTATTGTTATTGTTGTTGTTCTTCTTCTTCTTCTTCTCATTATTATTATTATTATTATTATTATTATTATTACGTAGAATTCATTAAATTCTTTTATGTCGTAACAAATTTCTCGGTACTCGAATTTTCGTTACGTACTATTAATTTCGGTATTATGTATAAGAATAAACGTTTCAATTTTAGTTAATATTTATCAAAATAATGTAATTTAAAGAAAATCGCATACACATAATTTGACATTTTTCAAAAGATTAGGAAATATTAAATATAAATATTTTAGTTTTTATTTATTTCAATATGTTCAATATTATAGAAGTAACACTAAAAATACAGCACGAATTCCTAAAATATAAAATTCAATATTATAAGCTATATAAAATGTATATTTTTACTATAAATTACAATTGCAATGAAAAATATTCATATTCGTATTTTAATCAAATAAAATAATATTCCTTAAGTAAAGAAATATATTATTTATGTGTATATATTTTATAATATATCATGTTCTAGAAATAACTAGAGACATATCTGTTATAAAGAAATCCTCTCATATCTTCATAAAGCCGTAAGCACTAGAGTATGTACAAGTGACTGACGTTACAATAACTTATAATAATTTATCAATGCTTTAAGCTTGCAAATCGTAGAAGCGCGAGTTCCCATATGACACATTTTTAAAATCTATTGCTATCTATTCACATTAATATTATACATACATACATGCATACACACATATATATATATATATATATGTGGATATATATATATATATATCAGGTCATATCCGTATTCATATCCATTATATTTCATTGCACCTATACTGCTGCTATAAGTGTGCATGAATATAGTCGAGAACATCGTGAAGAAAAATAATGCACAGCAATTATTTTTAAACCTCTATATATCTATCTCAAAATAGAGTTAATTATTGTATTCTTTGTAAAAGAAAATATACTTCTACTTTATTCCTCATTCAGGGACATCATATTTCATGAATTTCAATTAAATTTTTTAGATTTAAATAAAAAAAATTATATTGTAAAATTAAAATTTTAAATTTTAAATATAATTTATTCAGCTTTTTTTTTTTGAATAACAAAAATTCAATGATTTACTCTTATTTAAATGTAATGCAAATTAAACTAAAATATTACAAATTAAAAAAAAAATATTTTAAAGGACAGTAACAATGTTGAAATTATAATTTAACTTTGAAAAATTAAATAAAAATATTATATTTCAAAGGAACTGAATATTTTGACATTAGAAAAAGCACATAATTTATAATCCACATAAAATTCAGTATTCCTAAAAAGTTGTGATTATTTTTACACAAGATCATTTTAATTAATATGAATGGTATGCAGTTAATGTATGTTTATGATGAATTTATAAACAAAAAGTAATTTTACTTACATATAAAAATTTAATTCTTAAATTCCTCAAATTCAATGTGCACAAATCTATATTTCAGATATATTCGTTTAGATCATTTCCTAAGAAAAAACTTCTATTTTGTGTGATGTACGAATATACCTTTTTTATAATTAAGGGCGCTAAAAATTGATTACATATGTTATTTATAAATTTAGATATCTTATAGTAAGTGTTTCTTGAAGTTATAAATAATTATATCGATATTTGTTTAGTCTTTTAGAATTGATATTGATTGAAAAAAGTTCTTTAAAAAGAAAAAATTAATTGATGAAAACAAATAATTATTTAAATTATTTATTTTATTAGTTATCTTCTTTATGCATAAATTTTATAATAAATACCGATTTACTATAATAAAAATATGATAAGAAATGATAAAAAGTGGAATATAAAATAAGATGTTTTCGTTGTTTATTTATATTTGTGATTATTATAATAAGAAATTAATTTAATATTTGAATGTTAACATTTAAATAAAAAGCATTTGTTTTATATCTTTGTAATGAAAAAAGAAACATCATATTATAAAATAAATTATAATTTATTATTAAACGATAAATACTTTATTAAATACTTAGGATATATATATATATATATATGTTCTTAAAATTGAAAAATATTAATAAATAACATAATTTTATTGTAATAGAAAACCCGAAACTTTGATTAGAATTTAAACATATATTATGAAATAATTGTTCTATAGCAACTAACGTTTCATGAAGTAAGAAAGACGCAAATAAAGAAAATAGACATAAAGAAATAGTAATAGAATCGAAGATTATTGCAATAGGTAGGTAAGTGAGAGGTAGGTTAGTAGAACCAAACGTGCAAAGAAGAGAAATAATGAAAGCAATTACAACAGCGTGGCGGATGTGCGTGCTTATTAAACCAAATATGTCGCATGAGATGAAAGCAATGCCAAACTGTCATGTATAAAGCCGAGTGCAAATATATTGTGTTACGTACACTATCAACGCAAAAGAAATGAGGAGTAATAAAATATGGGAAAGAAGGATACGTCCAGAGAACGAAGTAATAAAGATAATACTTGAAGATATAACCGTCGAGAAAGAGATTGAGGTAGCCGACTGTAGGAAGAAAATCAAGTGGGGGCGTAGGAAAAAGTTGAATGGAAGCTCCAGGCAAAAGTGGGTCATGAGAGGACAAGGAGGAGCTGCTCTCTAATAACGTCCAACCAGCTGATGAAATTAACTTCTCCTGCTTCATGTATTGATCAGAGAGGAACGATAAAATATGACGATCCAACCAATGGGAAAGAGATAAAAAAAAAAAGGGCCGTTCGGTTTAAAGGATTAAATTAAAAATAGAAATTGAGATAATTTGGTGAGAGAAATAGAGATGTGAGATATAGAAATTAATATATGAACTGAAAAATGTGAAAGGTGGAAAATTAAAAATATTTATAGCGGCTAGAATATGATTTTCTAATATTTTTGTAATAAACATTCAGGAACATTCGTAACATTATATATATTTATACTAAAAGATGTAATATCCAGGCCATTATGTGATGATTTAATTGGAAATAATGTCGTAATAAATAATTATAGTATGCTGTGATTATAGTTACAGTATTAATAATAAGTTACGTAGCTTAATTAAAGGGCATAATTAATGTTTTTCATTTCTTGCTACTTATTTATGAAATATTAAATATTGATATTTTTAATAAAAAAATTATTTCTTAAATATTATCATTTAATGTTTATTTTTATTTCTTTTGTTTTTTTTAATATATATTTAATATTGTTACTCATCCTCGTTTATACATGGATTAATTTATACATAAATTAAGATAAAAAAGTGTACAACTTTTTTTTTAAAGTCTAAATAATAAATGCTATTGTCGGACTTTTGATTTATCAATATCTCAAATCAACATTTTAATTATACAGAATAATTATCGATAAATTATCGTGAATTCTTTAATTTATAATCACAGGAAAGCTGAATAAACGTCTTAATTTTCATTTTTCTATTTCAGTGTTTCATCTTATTATCAAGAGCCCCGGTATAAACGAGAATCGGAGATTGACCCCGAGGAGTACCTCGCACTTCTCTCATTTTACGATAACGAACGCAGGAATCGAGGGTAAGGAAATATTTTTATTCACTGATATTTTTATAAATAAACACAAATAAATCACTATATTCGGCGAAAATGCAATCTCGAGTTGATTTTTATTTTTAGAAATTGGTTAAACTATGGTAATGAGGAGTACGAAAACGTCGATGATGCTAATATTATCGGAGTCGACGACGAAGATCCAAGAAGTAAGATTTTTGTCAACATTAATTAATACCTTATATTGGTTTAACATTAGTTAATATTTGTAATATTGTGATATATATATATATATATATATATATCGATCGATAAATGAGTTTTCCTTCTTGACTGATTTTATCATAAACAACTATCAAGCATTTATCATTTGGTGAAGTGATTAATATTTAGTTTCACAATAATTCATTTTCTTTATTAAGCGAAATACAAATTATAGAAAAAAATATATCTCAATCAATTACAACGTAGGTTCCTCGTGGTTGGACAGCCCCTTAGGATATCCTCAGCAGCATCGTTATCTTACAAATGATCCTCTCCTAGGCTCAGACCTAGCTGCACTAGGACGCAATAGACCCAACAACTACTATGAACAATATCTGGGTCAGCAATATGGAGGCACAGGAGGCCAACAATACGACGCTGGAGTGCAATACGGCACACCTCAGTATGGCATCCCCTATGTTCAACAGCATGCCTATTATTCACCGGAAAAAAGGTTCATGATGAACCGAAAACGATCACAGGTGAGGAATTGGACTGAAATCATTATTACTTTTTAAGCTTAAATTTTCAAAATTTGTAATATAAATCGTAGACTGATAATGAAAAGTTGTTTTACAAAAAAAAAGTTGAGCTTGTAATTATAAAAATATTGACAATAATTTATTCTATAATATTCACTGAGGGAGACAAGACTTATAATTTCAAGCTCAAACTTATTGGTTTCCATCATTATATTTTTAATTCATCGATATAAAGCAAATGTGAATTTATATTTTAACTTTATTCTTTTAAAAGATTCAAAAAAAAAAAAAAAAACAAACAACAACAACAACTGTCACAAACAAATAAATACTTCATTTTCGTTATTGCTACTTATAATTTATAAATTAGAATATTTTAATAATAAATTCAATTAAAAGATTATTTTGTATTTAACAGAATTATGATTCCTACGGAGATCGAAGCGGTATAATGTTGAACACCAGGGGCTATCTCAATTATAAAAATCGTTTACTCTACTAAAAGAAACATAATACAACGATGTATAAAAATATGAATGGCAGCACCAATATAGTACATTTGTCATAATTATATTATAATATATAAAATTATTTTGTATTTCTATAAATATTTTCTTAGATATTTTATTTTAGTAAAATAATAAAAGTTCAATATTATTATCAAGTTTTATTGATGATTTAAAAATATTCTTAAATTAAAATTCAATTTATAGTAACTTTATGCTTTATCTGTATATTTATATAATTTATTCTCTATCGGTACACGGCAAAAAACTAATTTTTATTAACATATTATATTATTAGAATGAATATATATATATATATATATATATATTATATATATATATATATCTATATATAATATATATATATATATATATATTATTACTAGAAAGAGAGAGAGAGAGAGAGAGAGAGAGAGAGAGAGAGAGAGAGAGAGATATAGATGGATAGATAGAGACAGAGAGCGAGAGATACTTTGCATGTGTGTTTGTGTAGTTGAAAGAAGACGGAAAACACGAGAGTATGAAGGGGGGATATAAACTGCGTATAAATTATCGGCTATACAACAGAATTAATAGACGTAACACATAATTGAAATAAATGAAATTAAAGATGTTTGCAAAGTTAAAATTGATGGAAAAATATTAAATTATAAAATTGATAGAAAAATGGCAGACACTACATATCTCTACCTGAACTTGCACTCGGCATGTTCTTATCTCTTTTGGTTGGTAAAATCAAATTTAATTTAAGTAGAATATAAAAAATTTGAATACAGATTTTTCTTTTTTTAAGACAAATTAGAATTAAATTAAGAGTCACTCGTACAATATAGCGTTGCATACATTTAATAAAATTAACATAGAAAATTTTATGCAACATTTTCTTTTTACACTTCTCATATTCATCAAACGTATTTTTTACATTTGTATTATCGATTCCCTTTAGTTTTTAAGTACTTTTTTAATATATCCATAGACCACATTATTAACTATTTATTATGAGCTACAAACTTCGACTTTTTGAATTATATTATTTTAAAAGTTATATTAATTAAAGCAGTATTTAGTGACAAAAACATTTTAATCAAAAACTATGTAAGAAATTGAGAGAATTTTTTATCGATTATTTTGATATAATAACTAAAATAAGTTTAATTTTAACTATACATTTAATACAAATTCCAAACAAAAAATAATCTTTTTTTTTTACGCAACTTAAACATATATAATTAAATATTCAAAATTATTCTCATTTATCAAATTAAGTTAATGTCTCTTTCGTGTAACAAATTTTATTTTAAAAAAGTATACAAATATAAATATATGTTATATGCATGACGAAATGCAGTTTAACACATATAATACATCGATACATAATCCCTTGAACATATAAAAATTAAAGATAAGTTTGCGTGAATACGATGGAAACAAAAAAAACAGCACAACGCTCAGCAATTACATTTGTTTTTAGGATTAAAAAAGCTCACATAAAGAATATTAATTTGTATAATAGATAAATTTTAAATCAATAACGTACGCACTCGTGAGATAATCTAATCTTAAATTATGAGGATTTACTTTATCTGAAATATTAAGATAAATGAGTATGCTATGCAATCAATAAGTAATAGTATATTGCAGATTATTTATTAAAATATTACATACAAACTGTGTATTTTGGATTTGAATAAATTATAAAATATGAAGTATGTAGTTTTTGCTGTAAAAAAATATATATATGTTTATTCTGTAGAAAATATTGATTCATTGAAAGAAGAAAACATTATTATAGAATTAATTATCCTATTTGACTTAAAATAAATTGTATAATGCCTTTTACTACAAAAATTCTCTCAACATTAGAAATTAATATTTAAATATTAGATAAGCCTGATTATTGTAATTAATGATTAACATAAAGAATAAGAAATCAGTGAAGAGCCTTAGCATTGAACGGAAAGAATAAAGATTATTTTATTTCATTGTATCTTTATTTAAGCAATTGTCCGAATGACGAATAATATTAATCAATTCTTCGATTATTAATTTTTTTATTTTTTTTTAATGGTTTGCTTAAAAATAAATCATATTTTTTAATCATAAATTTTATATTAAAATTTGCAAAGAAAATGATAATCTATGTTGTTTTATTAAATTAAAATTATAATACCAATTAAGTGCACAATGTCAATATATTCTAATCTCTTATTCTTATTTAAGTATATTTTTATTTTATTTTATCATATAAATACGAATTCACGTAAGTTGGTAAATTATATTCTTAAATAAAATATAAAATTACATTTTTATTTTGCACGTTTAACGGCTTATTTCAATATAAATATTGATATTTATTTTAATATACATTTGATTATTAACGTCAATGAAATTGCATTTAATTTATAATTGCCAATGCAATTATAAATAATATAAGAATATTTTTAATTTATTAAATTAATTAGAATATTTATTTTTAATTAGATTAGACCATACAAACTAGAAACCTATGTAAATTTGTAGCATTTTAATTGATAAATATTCTGAGACTTGCACTTGTGAAATTTATTCATGAAAATCTAACTTAAGAATTATCAATAAATGGGACACAAGTTACAATCAGTATTAATATAAGACTACTAATCATTTTCATTTCAAATTATATGTTGATTCAATTAAAATACATATTCTAAAAAATAATGTAAAAAAAAAATTAAAATCAAAAAACATTTGAGCGTCGAGTATAAAGAAAATGAATAAGCAAAACAAAAATTATGTTGTATAAAAGAATTAAATGAAGCGATGCTTTTTCTGTAATTACTTTAATGTAACAATTTTTAATTAATCAAAAAATTGAATAATACTAAATTTTTAACGTCGATTGCTAATTTGTACTAAATTACAATGAATTGTAAAAATTATACATAAGTACAAAATTATAGATAAATCAATGCTTTTCTTTGAATGAATTTCTATTATATATATATATATATATATATATATATATATATATATATATATATATAATAAGAATCCAGTAGAATTCATTAATTTTACAAGACAGGCTACTGATTTGTGTAATCTATTATTGATTAGATTAACATTATTAAACAGAAAAATATGTTGAAAAATAATTCATTCTTTTATATAATAGTATCGCTTCTCAAGCTCAACAATAATATTTTTCATGAACATGAAAATTAAAGAGAAAACAAAGACTCTTAGTTCGGATAAAAGTTTTTCATGCATCCAATTCTTTACCATGGATTCCTATATTTAAGATAAATTTAATAAAATAAATTACATTTCAATTTATAAATAGATTATTTATTAATAAAAAATAAAAAATGTTAAAGCATACAGATATAATTATAGGAAGGAATTATTTTTAAATTTACTAAGAAACTATTTATATTGAATTTCTTATAAATAGTAAATTATTAAAAAAAATTTTGACTCCTTGACGTATATTTTTAAGTGGTGGTATCTTTAATTTATATTCTAGAATAAGCAAAACTTTATAGAAATCTATTGTAATCTTTTTAATGTATTATTTTTATTGATGAATTCAAATTGTTTCACACTACTATTAAAAAAAATTTATTTATTTTCAGGAAAAGTAATTTTTTTATATTACTAAATATAAATTAAAAAATAAGATAATGAAAGTATAAATTAAAAATGTGAATATATGAATATGAAAAAATGAAAAAATGATATAATGGAAGTATGTTAATTATACATCCAAATATAAATTTTTAAAAATTAATCAATATATTTAAGAATATAAAAAACTTTTTCTGAATTTAATTACTTTGTTAACAAATATTTATGTGTAAGTTCTTAGATTCTTAAACTTTATCATTAACCATATATATCGAAGTTGATAAAAAATCTTAATGTTGATGATCTATAATAAAATTATGATTAATAAACTCACAAATTTATGTCTATAACATTCAGTCTTTATAATAGACTTAAATGAATTTTTAAATTTATGTAAATCTTAAAATTAACACCCTTATAATTGCTAATACACTAACAAAAAAATGAATATATATATAATGAACTACGAAAAAAAGATGACTACACAGAAATAAATGATTTCAAAAGATTCGAAAAAATAAAGAAAACTTAATTTGATATATAAATAAAGTTAAATATATATATATATATATATATATATATTAAACACTACAAGTATAATTGTATGTTCCATTCAATAGTCTAGAATCTATTAATTATATTTTCCCATGGAAATAAAACATCAATGTACCTAATTTGTTCTCATTATATTTCGATTGAAAAATATTAATAATTTAGATAAAAAAATATACATGATAATTTGATTTTTAAGCAAATTATTTTCGTATACAATTTTTATATATTTTCTTTTATTATTCGAAAATTCAAATAATTACTTTAAAAAATAAACAAACTAGTGTTATCAATATAATTAAATATTATTTTAAATTAAATTGAGAATAACAGCTAATGAAAATAAATAATAATCAAATATATATTAAATACCAAGTTAATTTGAAATGGAACCATATTTTGATGTATACTTGTAAACTCGTATCCTAGTCTAAGAGGTCGACTGATATGTAAAAGAACCTGTATTTCAGAAATTAGATTTTTATTGAACTCAATGGTGCTTATTATGGGACTACAAATGAAACAAAGATGATAACAAATTAATGTTTCTAATTGTAAGAATCAGATAATAAATAAAAAATTATATTCTACGCATGTAATTTGCGATTATTGTGTGATATAAATTAAAAAACAATTTAATTTTCTGGTGTTTATATTCGTTATTTCATAATCCATTTTTATACATAAGTTATTATTTAACATTTCGTTGATAAAATTATTTAATTTCGCTAATTGTATAATAGAAAAATTATTGATAATTATAATAATATTTACATTTAATTTCATTTTTATTAAAATTAATGATGAATAAACATTGAAGTTGTGTTATTGTAAATTTATTTTATTTTGTATTCTGACAATTATTGTAAAAAAATGTTTAGCATATACCTGTACTTATAACGTATACATTTACAAAATTGTTTTTTAATAAATTGTATTTTAATTCAACAGATCAATATTTATAAATAAATATTTTTTATTAAAATAAAACGAAAGTAAGTACTTTCGAAATTCACTCGTGCTCATAAATATATTTGAATAGTTTTTTCAAATATATAATACATATTATATACAACTGTTATCATCGACTTTTATATTTATGTTTGTGTTTGTGTCCACTTCTTTCATGTTTCTCTTCTGATTCATCTTTTGATTTTGATCGTTTTGACTTTTTGTTATTTGAATGTCTGTCATCTTGATCTTCCGATGATTTACGATCGTGTTCTTTTTTTTTATACTTTTCAACCTTTATTCTTGGATCTCGATAATAATTTTCCCGATTTTTGTATTCATATTGACTATTCCTTTCTTTTCTATCTCTCCCTTCTTTGCTTCTGTCCCTACTTCTGTCTCTACTTTTTTCTTTTCTCTCTCTGCTTCTTTCTTTTCTTTCTTTACTTCTTTCTCTTCTTTCTCTGCTTCTTTCTTTTCTTTCCCTGCTTTTTTCTTTTCTTTCTTTAACCTTTTCCTTACTTTTACTCCTTCCATCGCTTTGCCTTTTTCGATTAAACTTGCTATCCTTATCATTCCTTTTTTGTTCATCACCAATTTTATTGAACTTTTGCATTTTCTTGATATCCCTTTGACTAAATTCATATTTATCTTTATCCCAGTAATAGCCTCGCTCTCTTTTCGGACTTTCTGAGCCACTTTGAGATCTCTCATTTTTTATTTTATTACCATCTCGAAGTTTTTCTTTTTTCTTATTTTTGTGTTCATTCTCCTCATCAAAATATTTTATGCCTTTGCCTTTACCACGCCATCGCATTTTGGCAACAGACTGTGAGAAGTCTACGTGAATCCTGCGATCATCTATCAAGACGTTATCCATTTTAAAATAAGCCTCTTCGCAACTTTTCCTCTCAGCAAACTCTATAAATGCGTATTGTAATGAGTCACCTGTCTGTCGATCCCTAATAACTTCACAGCTGAAAAATAATTTTTATATCATATAAAATTGACTTATATTTATTTAAAGAATCTTTTAATTTAAACTGTTGATATACACAATTTTCATTATTTTCAAGAAATAAAGGTTTACAATTTTTAAATATATGTAAAAATTAGAAAAACCTTTTCTATTTTCAGATAGAAAGTATACACACCCAACAATTTTACCAAATCTGCTAAAAATAATCTCCAAATCATCATCATTTGTTACTGGATTTAATTTACAAACAAACAAAACATTTTCAGGGGGAGCCATCTCAGCATCAGGAATATCTCCTACAATTTCAAGAATTGTTGCTCTAGCTTTAGCTTCTTTTTCTTTCTGCATTTCAGTAATCTCTTCTATTGACATTCCTACTGTATCATCAATAGTTTCATCTGCGCCAATACGATCACTCTAAAATAAATTTCAAATAATGTTCGAACTTAAGCTTATTATATTATAATATAATATGTTTATAATAATATTATAAACTTCTACATAATCATTATATATTTTACTAATATTTTTAAATATGTATTGATTTTTAATTTCATTATAAAGTCATATATAAAAGAATAAAGTTACCATTAAAGCCTCTTTAGTAGGCTCTGGACTTCTGTCTGGTATAACAAGTCCTTTTGGATCTTCATATGGATCCTCAAGGACAACAGTATGCGATATTCGAATATCTTGATAAGGTCTATGATCTCCATCACATATAGTTTCATTAAATTTTAAAATGATCTCCAAGCCTTCAGTTATTTCTCCAAAAACACAGTGATCTCCGTCAAGTGATTGAAGATCAGATCCAAGTGTGATAAAAAATTGTGATGCTAACATATTATCGCCGCAATTAACCATTGAAATTAAACCAGCTTTATCATGTTTAATTTTTGGTATTTGTTCAGCTTCGTAATAACATGCTTTTTCACCTAATACAATACCATATATACTTTTTCCTCCTTTTCCAGTAGAGGTAGGATCTCCTGTTTGAGCTATAAAATTGCTCTGTACAGTGAAGAACAGGTTCCAATTGTAATATTTTATTTTGCATAATTTCAGGAAATTGCGACATGCTGTAATTTAAAAAAATTTTTAATTACTGATTCATTGAAAAAATATCAATTAAATGTTTTGTAAAATCAGAACAAATTAATAAATAATACATACTTTTATTATAAAACTTAAAATATACAAATTTAAATAAACAATAAAATTATGAATAATTTTTGATAAGTAAACATAATTCAAATACATAAAGATTTAACCTACTTGCAAAATTGTATTTAATTTTATAAAAATTATATCTTTAAATAAAAATTTGTATTTTATCAGTAAATATCAAATTTTAGAAAAAGGAAATAAAATAAATGTCACAATAAATGTTATTGAATTCATTAAATTAATAAATAAATTACATTTATTTTTTAAATTATATATAAAATTTAATAAGTACTATGTATTTGTTTGTAATTTAAATTGAAATGATTTTTCAAAACACATAATACGAAATAAGGTTAGATTATTCAATGATTGATAAACTCACTTTGTGGTCTTTCCTTAGTATAAAGATCGACGGTAAAATCACCAACAGTAGTTTCTACAACTACTGACATTTTTATTTGCAATTTAAATATTGAAAAATCTTGTCAAATTAAACTATACAATATGTATATTAACATCGTTTTAAAAATTTTAATATTATCATTTTACATACAATTTATAAATTGTAATTACTTTAATATGAAACATTCACACAAAAGAAATATATACTTTACAAGAATTTATTTAATTTTATATACAAAAAGATCTTGTGAACATGAATATTATTCATATAATACGATAATCCATACGATTCAACAAAAGTATGGTTATATTCCGATTTACACCGCAATTGCAGCAGTTGCCATTTTACCAAATACATTATGAATAAAATCACTATGGCCGATTAAAATTTGGGCGCGAAAATTTTGTATTAGTTTTACTTTTCTCTGGATTTTATATATTTTTCAAATTTTTATTCATTTGATAATTTCATATATACATTCATATTATTAACCTATAAATAAAAATAAATATATAAAGAAAGGTTTATTTAAATTTTATGTTTCTCAATAATCATTGACAACTAGTCAAATATATTTGAAACCCAATACATTTAAAATACTTTTTCTTTAACTTCAGCAGTCTTCATCTTAATATTAATTTTATGTTTCATAGATCAACTATGCAATGATGATTATATTATTCGTTCGTAAGGTAAATATGATTTTTAAATAAAAACAAAACATAATTTTATTTAAATACAAAGTTTATCATAAAAAAAAACAATAAATGATTTAAATTGAGACTGAAAATTTTTCTTTTTACATTCCAGCAATGATTCTTATCGTAATTCGAATGAATATATTTGTATATCAGTGCTAATAAATGAACCACAGGCCGAAAACCGATAACGTGCCTGATATCTGCATATAAGAAAAATTTCTAGCAGAGGATACAACAGTTGCGCATTTCGATTCTAATAAAATTTATATAAAAATATGGAGTGAAAAATCTACCTCGTCTGGGTTCCGTTTGACGGCATAACTGATATTCATAAACACATGCGTACATGTGCATACATGCCCACATGCATGCATACATGTATGAAAACGCTTGCACTTACATATACACGCATATCAAACAATCATATATACTTAAACTGCACGTGTCATCTCAAATTCATTTATTACGATTTCTTATAATTTCCATTTTTCAAATTTAAAAACAAATTATTAGGAGACATACGATGCTGCTTTTTAAATTCATTTTTTATAACAAATCAATAATTTTTTCCTTCCACTTTATTAACGGCTGCCTATGTCTCATTAAATTCCTAAATTTCTAAATAATATTGCGCGGTATGTATAGATGAATCAGACTCCGGGTTTTCAACACAGTGAAACAAACAAACCGCTTCATTTTTAATTGCAGTCTTATGCATATCTATATATGTGCGTACACACATCTATATATACGCACGCGCACACGCACGCGCACACACACACACACACAAACACACATATATATATATATATATAACATATAAAGTTCATTGTGAACGACAAGAACAAAGTCGTGCGTGCTCTACTCGGAAATAATAGGTAAGAAAATAGAGAAAAATGGTACTGAAAAATCTGTACAATATTACTTCTTATAAGTTGGTAGAGTCACGTACCTAATGGTCATAATATATTTCGGAAATAAATATAATTTTTTTTATTTGAACTTGAGAGGCTCCCAGATATTTGTCTGGCAACTACTTTAGCGAAACTTCGTTCTATGTGTTTCACCTTATTGTCACAAATCTACAGTTGCTCACTAATACTCAAGGTAACTTAAATTATTTCAGCTTGTTACATCTTTTTGAATGCAACAATCTGAAGTTATGCACAACAAATTATAAAAAAAAATTCCATTAATCTTCCAAATTCAATGTGGGATTCAATTGATACCTATTTTAGATAAGCTAAATCTCAAGATCAAGTCTTTATTTAAAGTAATATGATCTAGAAAAATTTAACTAATCAAATATACATTGTTATATATAGTAGATCAATTTACCAGGAATCGTATTTGGATAAATTATGTACCTAAACATTATCACTTTAAAATTGGAAGTTATTATCATTTCAAACATAAATTATATGCATATATATATATATATATATATATATATATATATATATATATATATATATATATATATATATATATATTCTAGTGAAATTTATTAAATTCGAATGAAAACAAAATAATTTCACTTAATTGTTATGGATATATACAATTTATGAAAACTACAATAATTTAAGCAATTATTTTCTCAAATAAAAACAAATTACTTTATCCATCAGTGAACAATCATAGATTTGTTGACGATAAAAATAAAATGACCCAAGCAACTGTCTTTTAAAATAACGATCAATTAGTCCCGGAAGATCGGTGAGCAATCGTTGACTCAATCTAGCATGAAGGCGTATTCGAAGTAAGTGATTGAAGTATGTCAAAGCAGTCAACACCATCACATCCGATCGAACGGGTAAGCGAGAAAATATTCTACTGTACGAAAACGATTCTTTAAGGAGCAACCTTGAAGATTGATACGTGTTTTAAGAAGCTGCGTGACTGATCCCCATCAATGTTCAAATTTGTGAGCCAGCCACTGGTTGAATCAGCTGGATAAATACATGGCTTAGTGCAGAGTTTGCTTGGCGTAAGAAGAGAAGTGCAAAGAAAATTGGGATCGACGCAAACCTCCATTGTGGATGTTGTCTTTGCCCTTCGCATGGGATCGCGATTTTCATCAGTTGAAATACACGGACTCGAATCTTCATCTTCAAGCATCTCGTCATCAGAGGAACAGAGGTCCACAAAAATGATGGGTTTCAAAGGCTTTGAACGTTTAGCCCTATTACAGTTCTTTCTGTAAGTTTTCTTCGCCATAGATGCAATCGTAGCCATTGTCGTCAATGCAGATCGGTCAAATACAGCCTTAGAAGGAGGCAAGATCGATGGCTCATCGGTCTCCAGATCAATCACTATTGGATTCGGGTCTTCTCCTATATTGGGCTCGAAGAAGGTCTCGATCGATGGAGATCTTGGCCGAATGCGTGGTACCTTGCGTTCCGGGCTCCTATACCTAGATGGATCACGCTTCAATTGTTCCAGTTCTTCATCTGAAAGTCGAGTCACTATCACGTAAATTGGTCTGCAAGCTATGTATAATAATTGAGATCGTAAATCCAATGCTGAAAAAAACATAAAAATATAACATATATTAGAGATGTTTCCATAGTATTGAAATTATTATTAACTATATGTTTATTTACTATTTTTAAGCCAAGAGCTTGGACCTTTAAATTAATTTATTTTAATTCACCATTTAAAAGTTAAAAAAATATGTTTTTAATCAAATATTCTTTACAGAAATATACAAGTATTTTTAATTAATATACATTGATACCGCATTATAATTGTATTATATGTTTAGCAGTGACAATTAATCAATAAAAAGTTTTCTACAAAAATCAAAATATTTTACGAATTAATAATTATAAAAAAGAAAATAAAATGCTTAAAATCATTGGCATTTGTATTTATCAAGATAAATCTTTAAAATTAAATTTGTAAATTTATAATAAATAGATAATAAATATAATAAATATAAAATAGAGATTAATTATTATTGATTCTTACTCGGTTTGCCAGTATAGTTTGCAAATTTATATTCATGAGCATATTCATCAACTTTTATGGATTTATCACGATTAGGCTTGTAGGTAACGGACCATCTATCAAATTCGTAAGTTTTCATAAACCATTTAGGCTTGAATGAGGTGGATAGAGGTGGAGCATTGAGATGTCTCTCTATTCTTTCGAGACGTTCCTGCTGTATAAGTTCTGTCATCATCTTAGACTTTTTGCCAAGTGCAAGCCCAGCAGGAGAAGAAAACGGAATTGTAGGACAACGAGTTAAGTTGATAGAGCTTCTTATACGCCCCGTAGTACGATTCTGTACATTTTTATCTTTACTACTTATTGCATTGTTCCTTTGACTTGCATCGGTTGGTTTAGATGTTGTCAGTTCAAAATATTCCATGAACTGATCTTGCTTGATCTCTGGCACTAATTCAGCATCTGGAGTTATTGGTCTAGGTTCAACATGATAACACAATTTTTCATGTTCCTAAAATGTTTAAGTACAAATAGTCGATACATTAATAATTCAACAATAATTATAAACAATTGCTTCATAAATATTAATTAACGTTATGCAATAGTATTATAAACATACAAAGGTTTATTAACAAATTTAGAAATAACAGTCTAATTATGTATTTCGTTTATAATTAATATGTACCTTCATTTTACATAAACCAACAAATTCAGCATCACAATTATCACAAAGATAAATATCATCAATTGGGGGTTCAACCATAGCTGGAGAAGGTGCTTGTTTTTGGGTCGAGCGTCTTCGCAAACATTTTGTGCTAATTGAATTTTTTTTTGTTCTATTTAGTGGTAAAAGCATCCTTCTTGGACCTTCGAGTCTCCTGTCATAGTTCTAAAATAATAATTAAAAGGCTTATATTTAAGAAGACCAATTACAAAATAAATATAATATATACCATGTTTTCATTGCGAAAAGTGACAAGTAGTTTTCCTGTAGTTTTTAAATATAAGCTTGTAGTATAATCCCAATTGTTGACATATTCTAATTTATCATGTGGATATTGTGCCAAATATGAACAGAAGCGAAGAAGATATTCGCTTCTATGGTAGGTATAACACCGGAAAACGAGTTTCTTTAAATTACCCATGTATGTCTGAAATTCAATTAAAATGATTAAATCTACAATATCAATAAATTTAATTTTCTAATAATTTTATAAATGTGGCCTAGTAATAGAACTTTAAATAAACTCTATTCCACAAGACAAAATGTAAAAATTATTTTGCATACTTATGTTGTATTATCATTAACATGAAAAATATATTTTCTCAGATGTATTAAATTATAAATAAAATTCTATTCGCAAAATGCTATGTGGAATAATTTGATTTATATAAAATAACGTACTAATACGTAAATATAAATTTGAAGCAAAAAATTAATTTACAAATTGCCTAAAAAATTTATATAAATCTATATATATATATATATACATTTTTTAGGCAATTTGTAAATTAATTTATATTTACGTATTAGTACGTTATTTTATATAAATCAAATTATTCCACATAACATTTTGTGAATTTTATTTATATATATACATATATTCATAATTTTTATATTTGTTTATTTTGTTTTTTTATTTCAAATATTTAACGTCCCAATACATTATAATCTCATCAAAGTATAGATATTTGGATATTTTTTTTATCTATGCATAAATTGTTTTTACATGGAGTATAATATTTATACTGAAAATGTCATGTAATTTTCTGTTTTTTAATGCTATGCCACATTAGCTTTTGACAATCAAATTTTATTTTATTTTCAAGAAATATTAATATCAATTGATAGATACGTAATACATTAATATATTCATTTAGTTTAAATGAATAATTTGAAAAGCTATTGTAATCATGAATTTCAAATAATTCCTCTTATCTATATACAGCAACAGCTGTACACATATACATTATTTTATTTTATTAGTTCCTTTTTTTAACCTAAGCAAGAGCAGCAGCACCAGTAGCTATTACTTATATCTGAATCTATATCGAGATTCCTGACTCATGCTTTACAATTAGGATTGAACGGCCATTTTGGTCATCTAATATTAAATTTATGTATCCAGAGGGGTCTTGGAAGAAAAATTTTATGCAAATTCCGCACAATATAAAATGTTAATTTTTGAATTTTCGGTCAACTATTTTTATTGCATGTCGAATAAACTAGCATAAATGAGCGTTAAGAATGTATTATTATAGTATATTATAATAGGTATTCTTTTAATGTTATTGCTACAATAAATTATCTTATATGGCAGAATGAAGTTTCAGGTATGTACAAATATATAAGGGAAAATAGTCTATTTGCGCGACAAAAGTAGCCTGTAAGTACAAGTTGCAACAGGAAGAAGAGATGAAGAATAGGTCAATATGCAGTTTAATTTCTGGATTCTGCGCAGTGATGACTTCACGCTGGTTGGTGATCGTGTACGCGCTTGTTTAAAACAATCAACGGTAAATGTAGCAGGATGAAAGGTGAAATCGAGACGAAAAAAAGTATATACAATGCGCTATGTGTAGGATGTTGTAAACATTGCAAAATTATATGCGAAATCTATCCAAAATTATCATTGGGTTGTTAAAAATTGTACATAACTGTTTGGCTTTTGTTTCGAACTTCCTTTGGACAAATATTTGAAATGATAAACGTATGATTACCAACGAATCGAAACTAAGATAATTCTTTCTGGCTAAGATTGAGAAGTTGTTTCCTTCCTTTTAGTCAAGATAATGAGGCCATATAGTTATATAGAGCCTGAATTGATTCTGCGCAGTACACCTTTAATGCGATTGGTTTTTAATAAAAGAAAGGGAAACAAGGCAGAGTTGAGCAACAACTATAAACACATTTAAAATACAATACTCAAGTTATCTTTGTTGAAATGAATGCAAATTCACAACCAATCAACAATGAACGTGTATTGCGCAGAATCAATAATGCGTTACGATCTAACCTTATTGAATTAAAGCAGCGCAGCTAGATCTTAATCCTTCATCATTCTGCTTGGAAGAATTAACTCTTGGAATTTGCGCAGTGCAATTTCAATCTGATTGGTCGTTTAAATAACAAAACACCACACAAATATCAACATACTTATAGTTGATATTCGTCCTAGTATATTTTTTGTATTTTTGACGAGCCGAGTGGCATGTACAGAGTTCGAAAGGCCCTTTACAAAGCAATTTTTAAGTACGTATATAAAGGTGCTATCAAATAAATCGTAAATTAATGTGCCCTTACAATATTTATATAATTATTTATACAGCTATTAGTTATTAAATGTGTTAAAAATAAATATAAAAGCGAAGTATAAAATAATTAAATTTTTCGAGATTTTTTGATTGTTATTTCCAGTAATTTAATTATTTATTTTATGTTTTAATCTGAAAGATTAAAATTGATAATAGCATAAAAATGTCTTCGGACCCACTATATCTAAATTGAAAATAATTTCTTTAAAATGCAATAATCTACCAAGTAATTAAATGTTATATCGTTTTATATATTTCATTTTCATAGAACTCATAAGTTTTAATATGAATTTTACTTCTCGTAGTAAAATGAAATTTGTGAAATATTTTCATACATGCGGTTTAAAACTTACTTGATAAAATCCAAAAATTTTTAAATCTAATTCAAAGTATTTTGGATAATACTTGGATGTGAACTTTGAAAAGATCTTCAAACTAAACACCAATTAGTTTTATCTAAAACTAAATTTTGGTTAATAAAATAAAAAGCCACTGCGTGCATTTGAGATTAAAAAAGCACCAGATCTTAGCTTAATAATAATAAAAAATATCATAAAATAATAACGTTCTCCATGAATTATGAATAACTCGGAAAATCATTTTCTACGAATAGCCTTACTACACTAGTGAAACTGTTGAACAGCTGTTCACTAAACGTGTATGTTTTATATATTAATTAGGCTGTTTATTCTAGATATTTTTATTCTTGACGCAAGTAATTCATATGAATGTCTAAAATGTATACGTTTTACGGTAGAAAAATATACTCGTATTACAAGTATTTATAAATAAAATATTGATTTCAAATTGCAAATACTAATGTATGTATTTAGAGTGCCTTAACTTATGTGAAAAAATAAAAATAATCTATAGAATGATAAGAATTATTTCTTTAAAATTATATGTAAAAATATAAAATCAATATTACCTATAGTCTCTCTACTAATGATTAGAATTTATTTTTATTACAACTTAGTACAATTTATTGCAATTTATTACAAGTCGTCTACACTACTGAAAATTCTAATAATGAATAACTGAAAAATACATATGAAGCTTATGCTGCGTATGCAAATAATGAGCTTTATGATTGCAATACCATTACACAGAGTTGACACAAATACAAAAAAAAGCACACATAATGCAGTGAAAATAAATCAAATGCATTATAAAAAGAATTAAAGTTAATTCAACTATCATAATAAAAGATTTTCGAATATAGCTACCGAAAATATAATATTCAATAATTTACCTAATGAAAAAAAAACAGTACTCCAAAAGATTATTAATATTTAATTTTTGCTATTAGTAATTTAATAATTAACGTACGAATTATTAAATGTTGAATATTCGTCATCACATTTTTCGAAAACTTCTTTTGATAAATTATAAAATATATCAATCGATTGGATCGGTCTTTCGTTTTTTTTTTCATGTTTTCATACGTTTTTAATATCAAACTTTTAATATAAAAGGTCATATTATAATTTTTCTTTCTCAGTCATGAAATATTGAAGTATTATCACTTAATATTTGTTTGCCCATCGTTTATACAATTTCATACATTTGTTCTTCTTCTTTTTTTCATTCGTATTATCTTCTATCGTATTTTATTGTGAAACATAATTATTATTATTATTCTATCACCTACTTCAAGGTATGTTCGAACTCTTTCAACGTTGTTATGATGAGTTTTTAATCAGAATTTTGTAATAGCAACTCTATGATATGCTTAATCTTACTAATATATATATATATATATATATATATATATATATAATATATAAGATTTTATCATAAAATTTGTATAATCTAATAGATTCGTTTATATTTGCCGAATTAAACGAATTAAATAAAATAAATTGTAAAAATCCTTTATATCGTATAAAAAAATCATAAATAATGAACATATTATATTATACAAGGTAATTAATAACAATATATTCATAAATAAATGTTTCATTTTTCTTCTTGTCCAATTTTCTTTCGTTTATTACAAATGTATTGATGGAACATTTCTTTGACTGACCTCTACAATCTTTGCTTCTTTGTCTGTCTCTCATTCTAAAAGGAATAGTTTAGTGATTACTGTAATATAACAATGTTATAATTTATAAATTCGTATTATTATATATTTTCATTTTTTATAAAAGAAGGTATCTATTAAGTAATAAGAGATTATTTTTAAGCTAAGCTATGTTATTAAACAATGAATAGAAAATTAATTAAAATGGTATAATAGCTTGATTTATTTCCAATTCATTAATATATAAAACCTTAAAGAAGAATTTCAATGATGCGTCTAAGACATCCTGATAGTTGGATCGACCATTACAGAATCAGCTAAACAAAAGTTCTAATAAATATTATATAAATTTGCATGAATTCAAATTATTTTACCATTTATTTCCATTTAAAACTACATGTAGTCTTAAACAATATTTTATAAGATATTAGAAAAATATTTATTAGTAGTTTATTAATGTATATTAGATAAGAACGGTTATTTTTAATTGCTTTGAATAAGTTTTAAGTATTAAAATTATTTCTTCCAAAATCTTACGAAATAAAAGAATATTCAAGATAAATGAACGTATGTAATTTTTAAATTAGAATATTCTTCAAACTGTTACAAACCAAATAATAATTTTATTGATAGTATGCAATTGTTGAACTACAAATGCCGCTATCTTATAAATTTCATATATTGTTAGTAATAAATCATCTCAATATTATATATATATATATATATAATTCAAGTAAATTATATATTTACATTATTCTACTTCGAATTATTTTCATTATTAAAAACGCATATATAACTTTTATTTTTTAA